CACACACACACGCTTATGAACTATTATGGCATTAAGATAGATAGATAGATGATAGATAGATGATAGATAGATAGATAGATAGATAGATAGATAGATATAGATAGATAATGATATGATTTATTTCAGTGAGCCTGACTGAACTGGGCATCAACCTTAAGCTGCAGTCTTACACCCCATGAGTAAGCACCACTGAATTAAATAGCATTTATTTCTGAGTTCATGTGCATAGGGTTGAACTGCCAGTCTTTTGTTTTGCAGCTATCCTATTTTTAAAAGACATCTGAAGCTATCCTACTTTTAAAAGACATCTGATGTATTTCCCTGATTATGGAAGTTTTTAGTATTTAATGCTGTATTGTTTTTAACACTCGACTGGGAGCTGCCCAGGGTGGCTGGGGAAACTCAGCTAGATGGGCAGGGTATAAATAAGTTGTTTTTGTTTTGTTTTGTTTTGTTTTCTATTTCCTTTGGCTGAGAATGTAGGCTTGTATCCTATCAGTGCAACCCTACATGTATCTACTCAGTTGTAAGCCTCATTTGATTATTGCATTATTTGTGTCAGGAACAATTGCTGGTATGCTTTTTTGACTGTAGAGGAATCCAGTTTTTAAAATTTTGGGGGCTCTGTGGTGGAATAACATTGCAGCTATGCATCTGCACAGTTCAAGTGTTCTACACTAGAAGTGTTACTGGCCCTCTGTGCATCATTAGTACTAATGTAGTGTCCTGGTTAGCTAGAAAGTATTAGTTAGGAACATAAGAACATTGAAGGATTCCTGCTGGATCAGGCCAAAGGCCCATCTGGGCTACTAACAAACCCATAGGAAACCTGCAAGCAGAACCAAAGTGCAACAACACTTTGCCTTGCCTAGCCTTGCCTGCAGCAATGGAAGCAACACACAGCCATAGTGACTAGCAGACCCTGGAAGCAGTTATCCCCTAGAAATGTATCTAATCCTCTTTTAAAGCCACCCAGATTGGTGGCCATGACTACATTTTATAGGAACGAAAGACAGTTTAACGATGCACCGCGTGAAAAGGTGCTTTCTTTTGCCTGTTTTGAATCTTCCAACATCATTGGGTTATTATGACAGAGGGAGAAAATAACTTCTCTATCTGCTCTCTTCACACCATGTATAATTTAGTGTGGAAGAAAGAGCTGAGTGTCCTGCACACTAGCTAGAGTGCAACATTCAAGTTTAGGAGAAGCCTTACTCCCAATACAATACAGAAGTAATCCATCTTGTGATGAATTATGCCCCACCCCCAAAAAAAAACCTGGTGGATAATAAGGATACAAAATACACTTCCTAAGCTCCATTTTATACAGCAAGGCTTACTTCTGAGCAAACAAGCAGAGGTTTGCAGTGAAAAGCATTTTTTCACATCTCTGGCGAAAATCTCATTGATTTAAAATTTAATTTCCCCATTACTCTATTAACCATTAGCAATATTCCAACGAGTAGCACATCTTAGAGACCAACAGGCCTTCTTCACTAAAAGTCATGGTGTGGGGGGGGGGGGCAGTCCCCTGATCTAGACAAGGCTGGACCAAGGCATTTGGGGGACAAAACAGGAAGTCCAAGTGGTGCTCATCTTACCCACACCATATGGTAAAATAAATAGTGACTGTTCACCACCTTTTAATGTTGCCCTTCCTAGCTTGTGACTGTCCCAGGTCTGAGGGTGAGGGTAGGGAGGGAGAGGGTAGACATTGTAAATAGATACATTGTGTGTATCTGAAGAAGTGTGCATGCACACGAAAGCTCATACCAAGAACTAACTTAGTTGGTCTTTAAGGTGCTACTGGAAGGAATATTTTTTGTTTTGACTATGGCAGACCAACACGGCTACCTATCTGTAATTGTAAATAGAGTTATCTTTGCAGTTGAGTAGTGTTTGTTTATTAAAAAAAATACCTGACTAATTTGTGTGAAAGAATATATGTAGCAGGCTAGGAGCCTCCTCAAAGCATACTGTGCATTAAGACATGCACAGTATGTAAATGACAAATGCACATTACTTCACTATCCTGAAGAATGAATGGACTGTGTACACAATGATTACCGTAAGTACGGCTAAATCAGGCATCCCCAAACTGGCCCTCCCCTCCAGCTGTTTTGGGACTACAACTCCCATCATCCCTACTTAACAGGACCAGTGGTCAGGGATGGTGGGAATTGTAGTCCCAAAACAGCTGGAGGGTCGAGTTTGGGGGTGCCTGGGCTAAATCGATGCACAACTGCTTCCCGTTTGGAAGTATGTGGAATTGTAGTAGCATAAGCCTTCTCCCCATTTTTTATTTTTTTTAACTGCAGTCCTCGGTATAGGGTTAATGGTTCTGCTGGGAGCCGCTGAGAGTGACTGGGGAAAACCAGCCAAGTGGACAGGGAATAATAATAATAATAATAATAATAATAATAATAATAATAATAAGTTAGTAAGTGAAGGTTACTTCCATGTAAGTGGAAATAGGATTGCAGCCAAAATAGCACTTCTTTAGTTTTTAAAAATACAGTAAAATAAAAATCCACGCACACGGAGATCCCCTTGCTCAGAATATCATTCTAAAATCGTGCCGTATTAATAATACCAGTGAGTATTTTACTTACACCAATAAAAATATTTATGATTACAATAGACTGATATTATAAATGCAGTACTGTAATAGAGTGTTTAATATTATAATCGGGACATCTGCAACGTATTAGTTTGATTCATTCCTGCCCTTACTGTATTTGGGACGCGTCTGGTAGCGCTGGCAATGTATGTTTACTCAGAAGTAAATTCCACTCGGTTCAACAGGGGGTTACTTCCTCCGATAAACTTGCATATACTAATAAGTCATCAGAGTTAGGGCTTAAGGGAGTGACCAGGAGATGACCTTTTTGAGCTGTTTCCACCTCTTATACACGTTTTTAAAACACACGTTTTTGTTTGTGTAACTAAATGTTAGGTTTACCAGTTATTCTTGCGCGGGGTAATTTGCTGGTTTAAAATTTGTGTTGTAAACTGCTCTGGGATGTTATGAAGGGCGGTATAGTGCATATTTAAATATTTAAATATTTAAATTTAGATCTGCATAAACATAGGTTTATAAAACGCATTACATGAACAACGCGAGTACCATCCTGCAGTCGAAGGGCACTATCCGGCTAGCGAAGCTCGTTGACATTGCCACTGATTCCAAGAGGAACTAAGTACGCCCCAATGCAATCAAGCAGAAATGAAAAGTGCTTTGAACTTTGGCTAGATTGCAGCTAATCTACCTAATTTAGTCCTGTTCACTAATTTCAAGGGGTCCACTCTGTTTAATCTAGGGTTGTGCCCAGCGTTAGTCATATTCATGTTAGATTTATTGAAACTAATAGGCAGGACTACGGTCCATTAAATTCGTAAAACGTAGCTGAATACAACCCATATTTCTCAGCCCCATGGAACTCGGAGGGAATTGCCTCCAGGTAAACATGCTATTGCTCTGATATTTGGACAAATGCAAAGGCTTTGAGAAGGCAGCTGAAATTAGCAAGCCCAGAGCGATTTATTTCCATTGATGGAGTCCCTCCTTCGCCTAATCTGTTCCAGGCTGTTATTTTTCTGGGTGGTTCTGCAACAATGCGATTGTCCCTGGAGTGGCTTTAAAATCAAAATGAGGAAATATCACATCCTGGATTCTGAACGTCAAATGGGAACCACCAAACCGTTTTAAGCCTGAATAAATGAAACCCCCCCCCAACTCGTCTGCCTGCCCGGCCATTCACCACTGCTTAAGTAGAGAGGAATTGAAACCAAAGTACAGTATTTGGATTTAAGCGGCCTGCGTAAATGTTTTTTGTGCTCCTAAATGGAAGCCAATGTGTTGAAATCAATGAATGCTATGATTTATCCATCCCTTACTGTTCCCCTATTGCTGTCCCTTCCCGGTGGGAATTCAGGGCACCTTCCAGCCAAAGTTAAAAGCACTTTTCATTTAAGTCTGATTGCATAAGGACGTGCTTAGCTGTTTGCTATTGGAATCCGCAGCAATATCAACGCGCCTAGCTGGCCGGATCGTGCGCTTCCATTGCAAGCGCCTCGCGGCAGGGACCAGCCCCATTAGGTTTCACGCGTTGCTGTTGTAAAGCGCTGAATGAAACTCAGGATCAGCATCATCAAAGAGACGCCGTTCCCACCCTCAGTTCCGACAAAACTAGTCGCCTCTTTGCGGCATTTTTAAACAACTTCAAGAGAAGCCATTTTATCAAATAAGCCTGCGTGGAATAATAACTTGAAATCAACGTATCTCTTACAACGTATCGCTTTTACTGTACTGGGCAGTGGATGTGGGGAGATTTCAACGGAACTTCCTTCCCCATAAAAGGCTTCATCGGAAGATTTGACCCCGAGCGCGCAGAATTCAACATGCAGCCCGATCCTGTCTATGTTTACTCAGAATTAGATTCCATTAAATTCTCTGCCACTTACTTGCAAGTAAAGACTCATAGGCTTGCTGCGGCTGGGATAGCGACAGCTTTGTTGTTGCTGATTATTTTATTTTATTTTGTTGTTGCTGTTTTCGTAACAGAATTAAACGTCAATAATAATAATAATAATAATTAATAATAATAATAATAATAATAGGCAGGCATGTTTGTTTCGATGGAAAGGTTCCGGAAGCAAACTCTTTGAAACGTTGCTTCTAGTCCTCATTAATTCCTTATGCCTCCCGCGCCGCCCAGCGGTGCGAAGACTTAGCAGGAAACAACTCGCCAGATCTAGACGGGGACTGCAGAAGGGACGCCCAGAAAGACGCCTCCTATTGCTACTCGCTTCTACGCTTTGCCTGGCAAATTGGCACCCAGCAAGCAATATATGTCGAATTCCCTTCAAAGTTTGCCGACGGAAAGGAGAACAGAGTCTCCGACATTCATCCCGGTAAGGAGGGGCGAGTTTTCCTCAACCCCATGGCCCTTCCCCATTTTTCTCCCCCGCACCCCCTTCCCCCTCTCCCTCTCCCTCATCCTCTCTCTTAAGCACTTCCAACAGTGCCTAACACAAACAGTGGAGTCTGTTGGCTCGATCCAGGTTCAGCTGACTTCGCGTTCCCTCTCCTTTTCTTACCCTTGTCAGTCTTACTCCTCTGTCCCTGGGATTTGCCAAAGAAGGCAGTTCTGTTCTCTCCACACACACACACCTTTTTAAAAAAGTAGGGATGGAAATGTCGTCTTCTTTTTGCTAGTCGCTTCCTCGGAGAGCCATTAGGAATCCTGAATGGAGCTGGGAAGCTGGATATATTTTCTCACTCTCTAGGATGCTGCGCAAAGCGTTGGAAGGGGGTTGATCGGGCCACAAGCCCTTCTGAGCTGGGCTGAAGTTTCTTTTCGGCTTTGAAGAGGGGGGAGTAGGAGAAGCAAAGAAGGAAGGCTTCCCTCCTGAACTTTCTTTATTTTATTCTCTAAAAGAAGAAAGAGACTCCACATTTGGAACGGGGATCATGGCTTTGAGCTCCAGGGCGCATGCTTTCTCCGTGGACGTTTTAGTGGGCAACTCGGGGAAGCGCAAACTTCTGGATTTGGAAGAAGAGGAGCGCTCTGCTGAGAAAGTAGCCGAGAAGACAGTCTTCGGGAAAAACCAGGCGCCAGGTAAAGTCGCCCTTCTTTCTTCTTTCTTCTCACTGTAGTGCTAGTCCGGCAACCGCCGAATCGTGCAGTCCAAAACTATACATTCTTCGGAAGTCCGTCAGCGCGTTTAGAATTGTAGCCTGTAAGGATTCAGTCCTAAATTCCTGCCCCAGCTTCCCTGAGAGCAAATTCCCATTTAATCCAAAAGAATTTACTTTTGAGTTAGGATTGCGCGGTTCAGCTGAGTCTCCCTCTGCGTCTGATAGGGTTTACTCCCTGGTACAACCTTAAGAAAAGCATGGCACGGGAACATATTATTTATTGTATTTCCTCATTTGCCAGCCGGAAGAAGAATCCGGCGTCCCCCTAAAACTTGCTCTGTTTTCAATAACGCTTGCCCCAAATAAAACGTTAGGACTGTGTTGAATAAGCGAAGGGTAAAATAACAAGGGACTTTGTACAATGAAGGCGGACGCACGCTGAGGGGGTACTTTTCCAAATCCGAGTGCTAAACTGTGTTTTTAATTTAAGATTCTTAAATGTGAATAGGGCTCAGCCGTGCTCCCAGTTCTACTAAAGGGAATGGATCAAAGCCTCGTTTTACACCGAGGGAAGACCAAAGCGATTAATCTGGGGCCTGTGGGTGATCTGTGTTCTGTTTCGGGCATGACCTTTAAACTCGCGCAATTCAAATGAAATTTAGAGAGGGCAATCGCAGCGAAAACTACACCTAGCGCTCAATTGAATGCCAAGTAATTGCTTCAGTGGCGGCGGAAGATAGGAAATCCCCACCCCCAATCGTTATTTACACCCCAGGGAACATACGACCCCGCAAATGTTACTGGACTGTAACTCCCATCATTCCTGACCATTGACCAGACTGACTGGAGCAGATGGAAGGTGGCGGTCCAAGAGCACCTGCAGGGACCGAGAGTTCCTCATCCCGGATTTACTCTCGTCTTCCACACATTTACTTGCGAGCTCATATTTCCCCAAAATTTCTCTAGGAACGAAGCCGTGCTAAAATAAGTCATATGTGTGCGTGCGTGCCTGCAATTGTTTGAATCGACTCTTTAAAAAAAATATCCACACTATCTATTTAAAGCACATTAAAAGCACTCTGTTTTCCCCAAAGACTCATGGAAGCTGTAGCTTGTTAAGGGTCCTTAACAAACTACCGTTCCCAAGATTCCTGCGTGGTGCTGGTAAAGTACTTTAAATCCATAGTGTGAATGGAGCAGGTTCGAGTGCCATCAGATTTTCCTCCCAGCAGTCCATAGGAATTATCGGCGCCTACAAAGTCTCTGCCTAGAAAATCCTTCCAGGACTTCCAAAGGATATTTGAGAGCACTTCCTAAAAACGAATGGCTCTCAATGGCCCTCGCAACGCATCCCTGCTTGAATTCCGATCCGAGCCACTCGGAAGGAAAGGGAGCCAATGGCATGTCCAAGCCGCGGGCACTCGCTGTAGTTCTGTCCCCGTACCCCGCTTGCATTTATTTCCTCCCAGAAAAGAAATCTAAGGGAGAAACGGCGGGCTCCCTCCCGGAGGAAACCAGAGAAGGGGCCGGAGCGATCCAAGTGGACCTGCAAGGTTCGGAATTGTGGAAGAGGTTTCACGAAATCGGCACTGAAATGATTATCACCAAAGCCGGCAGGTAGGGCATCTGGTCCGGAGTTTCATATCTCTCTTCCTTTTTTTTGTTATTGTATGTATGCGTGTGCTGCGCGCGATCTGCCCCCAGATAGCACTCTAAATTTCCAGTAACGTGTTAGCGACTGTGCTTGCCGGCGTGTCAGCTGCTGTGCTAAAAATGCACACGATTGCTCTACCCTTTCCAATAAACCAGCGCTGGCATGGTCCGAAGTCTATGCGCTCACGGAATTGTGGGTTCGATCAAGTAAATTACTAAGGCTGCTGTCCTATACTGTACCCGCTTACCTGGGAGTAAGGCAAGCCCCACTGCGCTGAGTCGAATTTACTTCAGAATAGACATGTACTGTAAGGCCTTTTTCTTTCTTTTAACAAACACGGGTGGATTCTGGTACATTCCACCTTTCATTCATTCTTATTAATATCCTGTTTCTGAGGGACACTTTCCAAGTCCCGCCGGTTTCAACGCCAAATAATTCAGCGCTTGCTCAACTCTCTCCTGGAAAGTAACTGATTGATCTTGAGAGTGCTTTGGTCGGGGTGGGTCGTGCCCATACTATGCACAAATGGCATGCTTACTCAGAAGTAAGCCACACTGTGTTCTAGACGGTGGGGGAGGCTTATTTTAACAAGGGAGACAAATTTGTTCTCCCCACAACTCAGGGAGAGGCGTCGCTATCCTCCCCCTTCCCCTTTTATTTCCAATGAAAACGAAACGGGGAAATCAAGGGACCTTTCTTGCCAGAGGTTACATTTTTTAAACTCAGCACCTCAGTGTCTGACGCAGAATTTCCGACCATGGTAAGGCGAAGGGATACAGGAAAGTCTGAAAGTGCCTTACATAAATCACAATTCAGAACCGTTGTTTCATCTACCCTAACAATTATTTTGCCTGCTCCAGTTCTCTAGAGGCGCGGGGGGGGTGTTGGTCCTTGCTCAATCCTGAACCTAAACTCCTTGTAATCTTGGAGGGTAATTCCTTCACACACATCCCACCCCCCTATCGCTTAGAGTTAAGATAATTTGTTTTCCTTATTTCAAACCAAATATTTGCAGTAAAATAGGGGATGGGGGAAGCACAGGCAGATATGTTTATCGTTTGCTCCTGTCCTGCATCTACACTGCAGGCTCCCCTCTCCTCACGACCTGGAATAAATTCTATAGCGAAAAGCTTCTCCTTAATAACAGTGATCCTGGTAAGATCGTGATTTGGGAGAGTGAGAGAAAACTGATGAGCTAATGGATAATTCGGTGGCCGAGGACTTTACTATGGGGATTTTGTGATATGCGTAAAACTTATCACTGGTCTCCCGCACCTACAATGCAGTAGCCATTTTCTAATATCATTTTAAATAAAAGGTTATTCAAGTCCCGGGATCGCAAACGCTGCAGGGCCAACTTAGCAGGTTTCGGTGAAAAGGAAGTAAAATATATTCCCATCCTTAAATGCGGGGAGGGCTGCAAACCACTAAACCCAGAGTCTAAAATTACGTTAACTGCACCACTGAATCGATAAAAAGACAATCTCTTCCCACGATATTCTTTCTCTTACCACCGCCTCTCTCACAAGTTCATCCTTCGCTGCTCAAGAGAAATGACTATGATAAGCTTCTGCAGGTTCTTTTCTCTGTTAAATCTATTCGATTCCCAAATCAGAGCTCCATGAATTAGTGGGTGACAAGTCACTATCACCAAGGCCGAGCTGTTAAGTCAAAGCTTGAGGCTGAAATTTCATGTACGTTTACATGGGAGTAAGAACTCGGTGAGACTTACTTCCAAGTGAAGCCTTAAAGGAACAGAAGAAGCTGCCTTATACTGTCAGTTTGTCTACATTGACTAGCAGCGGCTCTCCAGGGTTTTAGAAAGGTAATCTTCCCCGGTTCTAAATGCAGGTACCAAAAATTAAAGCATGTGCTCTGCCACTGAGTTAGTAAGTTTGGGTGACATGTCACTAAAAGGGAAGAATGTGAGGAGCCTAATATCAAGATCCTAAACATCCTTGGTTTGATGTCAATGCATTTCAAGGCAACCTATTCCTAAGTAGGTGTCCTTTCTTTTAACTACTGGAGGAAAACTGTGCATTGATTTGATCTGCCTACAATCCTGCCCATGGTTACTTAGGAGTAAGGCCCTTTAAGCCAAGCAGGACTTACTTCTGAGTACTTGATTTATTTGATTTCTTACCTGCCCTCTACTATAAGGTCAGAAAGAGACACAAAACATTTCTGATAAGCCTTCCTGGAGAGAAGGCTGACCTTGTCACCAGTATGGTGTCATTAAAAGAAGGAAGGAAGGAAGGAAGGAAGGAAGGAAGGAAGGAAGGAAGATGCTTTTAAAAATTTGTTTTCGAACATCCATGCCTGAGGATGTGTGCTGTGGAATTCCAAATCTCAAGATTCCAGTGTTTTTGGCACTCAGTAGCTAGATGGATGAAATGCATAGCTTTAAATGCTTTTGCTTTGTGCACCCATTTGCTGTTTGGCTGAACATTTTTGCAGTTCTTTGCAGAGAGAGGGAGAAAGTGAGATTAATTTATGAAGGTCATAAGAAAATATGAAGGGCCTAGTCTGATCAGGCCAAAGATGTATTGTTCTCAACCTTCAGGAAACCTGCAAGTGGCACCTGTGTGCAACAGAGTTCTCCCCACTTGAGATTCTCAGCAACTGGTATTCAGAGGCTACTGATTCAGACAATAGAGGGAGATCGTGGCCATCATGGCTAGTAGCCATTGACAGCCTCATTCTCAACAGATAAGAGTTGTGAGGAGTCAGAGTGCAGTAAAAGTCCCTGGCCAAGTCAGAATGTAGACATCTCCCCTTATTTAAAACACCTCACGCAACATCCCTTGCAAGATTATTAAAACAATGAGAAGCCAATGTAGTGTCCCCAGATGTTGTTGGATAGGAATTCCCATCAGTCTCAGCCAGCATGGCCTATGGTCAAGTTGAAGTCCAGTAGCATCTTGAGGGCACCATGTTAGCTACCCCTGAAGTCTAGGGCAATAAAAGGTTCTGCCCTGAATAGCAGGTGCAGACAGAATGGTCTTCAGAAAAGTGCTATGCAGAGGGTAATATGTTTTACTTCACTTACTTCAAAATGTGGGAAACCATCCATGCCTTATTTGCTCTCTCATCCTTACCCTTGATCTCAGCACTGCAGTGGAAAGCCAGGTCCATGGGGTAAGGAGTTCTGTGGGGCACCACAGAGGCAGAGGTGCACTGGAATTCTATACAACTCTACTCAGATAACAGCCCTATTGAATGCACTGGGACTCACTCCTGGCTAACTAAGGCTGAGTTCACACTCTCAATTACTGTGCACTCACTGTGTTGGGTTTTTACCCAGATTTCTGTGCCGTGTTCACACAGGCCATTATATATATTTTTTAATGCACATTTCCTGCAGGGTTTTTTTTTAAAAAAAACACAGCTGTTTTTTTAATGCATTGTTTCTTAAAACAGATTCACATGGGTTGGAGCATTCAAGTCTTTTCTAATTTATCTCTAGCCTCCTTTGCACAGGGTAAAGACACCCCCATCCTGTAGTGTGTACACAAACAAAACGAATGTGACACTAGGAAGCCCTGCTGATGTGAATAGGGAGAGAGGAAAGACCTGTGAAAGGTGTGTGTGTATGTTAACAACTTCACGGCCTTCTAAAATGGTAATGTGAACACACCCCAATTATAGGATTGTAGACACATTTGTCCCAGGACTAGAGGAGGATGGGGAACCTGTGGCCCTCCAGGTGTTTCTGAACTTCATGTCTCCCCAGCCACCATGGCCAACAGTCAGATGCAGTGAGAGTTGTATAGTTCAGGAACATCTGGCATGTTTATTTACTGTTACATTCACATCCTAACTTTTCTTTATTTCATCCTCACAACAACGCTGTGAAGTAGGTTAAGCTGAAAGATGGTGACTGGCCCAAGGTCACCCAGGAAGCTTCATGGCTGAGTGAGGAGTTGAACCCTGAAAGGTCCTGGTCCAACATTCTCACCACTATACCATTGCTGGCTCTCTGTTCCTCACTGCTGGGCTGGAATCTTGTTTTTCTGGTAAACCTTTCTACGGAACTGGCACATCGACATGCTCTTGCACCCCCACTCTCTCCTCCCCTTGGTCTTCGGTCCTTCTGAGACTTTCCTTCCTATCTTTCAGCCGCAGCCCAAGGCTTGGTAAACGAACAGTCTGGTCCTACTGACAATCTGTTGGAGGGAGAGAGAGAAAAATCCTGCTGTGGTTGGGATCCTTTTCCCCACGAAGCGTGTTTTAAGATTTAGCATTGATAATGGTGCCTGAATGATTTCACACGCATTCGCGGATATAGAAAGCTTTTGGAAAACGAAACAAAATACTAAGCACTTTTAATCGGGCTTATTCACTATGACAGAAACCAGCAATTTACGACTTCTAGTAGTATTTTGCGCAACACTATAGCTACTTATGTTCTTACTATTAGGAAGGGTTCAAACTATTACTTCCACGCCGGTTTCTACCAGGTCTATGTGGCGCAATGTGCCAGTGCTGTTAACCAGAAGGTTTGTGGTTCGTGGGCAAGATTCCTGCACTGCAGCGGGTTGGACTAGATGACCCTTGGGGTCCCTTCCAATCCTACAATTCTTTGATTCTACTACACCTGAAAGTAGATCATTTATCCCCTTCTGATGTGATAGGGAATGGGGGTGATGATAATAGCGGGAGCAGCAAAAGAGGGGAACTCAGCCGGAACCTGTTCATGTTTACTCGAAAGTAATTTCCATTGAGTTCAAGGGGGCTTACTCCCAAGTCAGCGCGCACAGGATCATGCCCATTTCTTGCAAGTCCCATCAGCTGTAAGCCTTGCAATGGAAAGGGAACCGGGTGTCCCTTGAACTCCAGTGCTCCTGCAAATGTCACAGGGAATGCGCTCAGGCTGGCGGTGTGAAAGGCAGGCTCGCCGGCCTGAGACTTCCGGGGCTCATAAAGCGGCAGGTATCCCTTCAGGTATGGCTGTGGACAGTTGCGCGATGACCCCTGAGCAGTGGAGACAGAGCGGGATAAGAAAAGAACCAAGGAACTGGATGCCAAATGAAACCTATTGCTCTTCTTACGCTTCTCGCAGGAGAATGTTTCCGTCGGTCAGAGTCAAAGTGAAAGGTCTGGATTCGATGAAGCAATATTACATCGCCATAGACGTGGTGCCGGTAGATTCGAAAAGATACAGGTAAAACGCGGACCGTTCTCCTTTGGAAGCTAAGCAAGATATAGGGTCAGTTCACACGTGCACGCTCTCATTCGCGGATGACTTCAGCAGGAGGTGATGACGACGTGCCTCCTGCTTGTGTCAGGGCCTTCAGCTCCCAACCAGCACAGAAAGGGATGCGCATATGGTAGCATCACCTCACACTCAATCTTTCCCCAGCTTCATCTGCCAGTTACAGGATGGTTCCTTCCTACATGTACGTGTGAATCAGTCCCGCTGATGTCGAAGGGACCTGCCCATCCACCCCAGTAGGCCTGGAAGCCATTTTAAAGCAAGCAGATGCGCTTCATGCAGGATTCCCTTTTCTCTTCAAATACTTCCCCCGCTCCCTTCCTAATTTCATAATATGACCATCAACTTACATGTGAAACTGCAGTTCGCTCTTATGCCTATTTTCTCATATTCAGCAGGATCCCCCCGCCCCCTTTCTAGGAAATAACCACGTCTCCTCAAGTCATTCAGGGCCGGAGTTATGCGGAGTAATCATAAACCGATTCCTCTTTTTTAAGCTTTTCTGACCCATTGGCAAAATATATCAATAGCTCGCTGTTTGCACGAATTTACGACATCCTAAATACTCTGAAGTATCTGGACCCAAAGAGATATTTCCCCCATTAATTCCAACTGATTTAAAATCCGCATGAAAAATAGCAGTCAAAAACAGATTGTAGGCAGGGCTCTTCAGACGCTGACAGAAAGCTAAGATCCAAGTCAGTTCTAAACGCGAGTTCTTAAAGCGCAGTCCTATGTCTGCACAAAAGTAAGCCCTACTGAATTCAGTGGGGCTTACTTGCATGCAGGTGCGGTTAACACTGCAGCCTAAGCAAACTCCTTCAGACTCCATAATAAGTCAAGCCTGCTGGTTCAGGTCTATAGCCCATCTAGGCTAGCATCCTGTGGGCCGACCAGAAGCCTGTGGGAAGTCTGCACGCAGGACCTGAGAACAGCAGCAGTTCCAAGCAAATGGTATTCCGATACATACCGACCCTGACAGTGGAGGTAGAACAAAACCATCGAGGCTAGCAGCTTTGTCCTCCATGAAATTATCTAACCCCCCCTTTTTTTAAAGAAGGTTACCTGAGTTGGTGGCCATCACTGCCAGTGCCTCATGAGGGAAGGAGTTCCACAGGTTAACTATGCGCTGCACGAAGGAATATACACACTTCAGATCTGTGTAAAGAAGTATACGTACACACACGGCGGGCCTGCGTCCCCCTGGCGCGAGATTCTATGTGCCACAGACAGAAGCTGTGTGCCCCACAGTCCCGTTTACTTTCACCCCGTGCTCTTCCTTCCACCGCTGGTCTGGGAGACGATGTGCACATTGGTTTCTACAGTACCTCTTTCCCATATAGGTGCTTTTGATCAGGACTCTTAGGAACACGGGAAATTGCCCTATACTGAGCGTGATTACTGCCTGCGCGCCCGGGTTTCAGGGAAGTATTCCCAGCCCTACCAGGAGGAGATGCCGGGGCAAAAGAGACCGCTGAGCTGAGCTACGGCCCTTCCCCAAAGCACTTGGGGAAAGTTGCAAAGTAAACAAACAGTTCGCAGGACCTCAGGGAGCCTTCGACAATAATTTGACAGGTTGAGATCAGGGGCTGCCTTTCGAAAAAGCTGCCTTTCTCTCCCACATCAAAGGCAGCAGGAGCCTTGAGCTAACGCAACAGTGAGCGTGTTACGTCCCAAAGGTTTCAATGCGCGATATGTAATCATGTTGTTTAAATCGCTCACGGAAATCAGAGATACTTTCTAAAAAATAATAACAATGCCAGTTTCGATGTTCCTTTTGGGAAGATCCGCCCCACACATTTAGGATATTCAACACATATGAAAAGCACCCTGGAAACACTAAGTTCTGTGAGAGGAAAGCTGCGTTTCCCAGGATTCTTTGCGAAAAGCCATATGCTTTAACCGTGCTTTAAATATGTAGCGCGTTTTTGCTCTGTCGTTGCTTTAAGCAGCGCAACCCTATACATAAGAAAGTTCCCCGAGTTCAATAGGAGTTACTACCTAAAACAAAAGAATAGGACTATTAACACTTCGATGCTATACACCCTTGCCTGGGAGTACGCTCCATAGAGCTCATTGGGCCTTACTTCTGAGTAAGCATGCATATGGTCCTTCTGTCGGTGTTCTAAAGTGGAAACATACTCAGGGTTCAGATACCTGGCCTTGTCCTCCTAACTGATATGAGTGAATTTCAGGAAGCGAATGTTGCAAGCGTTGAGTCCTAAATAGAACTATAATCTCTTTGTGGGCAAAGCAGGGGTAAGAGTATAGGGTGGAAGGGTGGGGGTGGGGCGGAAGGCTGAGACCTAACATCGCAAGCCAGTTATGGTCCCGCGGAGTGTCCGGCAAGGAAATGGAGGATTTAAAAACCTGACTGCTGGGGATACTGCACACCTGGCCAGTTTCTTTGGAATCCCTTTGAAGGAGCCCTGAATTTATAACGAGGCACAGGCAATGCCCCCAAACTCCGTGCACATTTCACAGGACCCCAGAACAGAAAGAACCGGGAGGAAACTGCAACTATAGGATTTAGTATTTAATCATTATTGTTAGAGATCAACTCAGAGTTGATCTGCTACTAATAACTGATGTTGGAGGGTAGCATCAAGTGAAGATCTTACTCGTTTTTTTCATTGAGCTTTCTTACACCAGAAAAGGAATCCTAGGCTACCAACAAAAAACAGTTTAAAGAAGTGGCAAATCTAATAAAAAGGTAGCCTTCTGAATGGGCAGTGAGAGATGAAGGAATGTCCTCAGCATTCCATTTTTAAGGGCTCTTGACAGGGTAGGCTCTGATTGCCAGGTGACTCAGCACTGCTGCCAATCATGTGAACTCTGCATAACCCAGAAAGTGGGTATAATATTGGGGGGGGGGGTGCTCAAGAATGTTTATGGGTTTCCCACAGGCAGAGTCTGACTGTGAGAAGAGGATGCTAGACTATATTGGCCATTGGTCTGATCCGGCAGGTGCATCTAATGTGCTTATGATGTGTGGTTGAGAAGCCAACTACAGGACTTAATGTGGGTTCTGCATTAGATTGTTCTGCTGATTCCTAACCTCATGACCTCTGTCCCCTATGAAGGTATGTCTACCACAGCTCCCAGTGGATGGTGGCCGGAAACACAGACCATTCTTGCATCACACCCCGGCTTTACATCCACCCAGATTCCCCTTGCTCTGGAGAGACCTGGATGAGACAGATCATCAGCTTTGATCGGGTGAAACTGACCAACAATGAGATGGACGACAAAGGGCATGTAGGTGTGGATTGGAGGGTGCACTGCTATGATGGGAGAAGGGGGGAGGGATGGACAGAGTTTTCTTGTTGGAACAATAAATAACTTTTACAGTCACCCTAAGACTTATACAGTCATACCTTGGGTTACAGATGCTTCAGGTTGTGTTTTTTCGGGTTATGGACCTGCCGAAACCCAGAAGTACCGGAGTGGGTTACTTCCAGGTTTCGGCGGCTGCGCATTTGCAGAAGCACTAAATTGTGCTTTGCGTGTGCGCAGAAACACCGAATCGCAACCCACGCATGCGCAGATGTGCTGCTGCGGGTTGCGAATGCTGCGGGTTGCGAACGTGCATCCCACACAGATCACGTTCGCAACCTGAGCGTCCACTGTATGTGTGTTTATTTGAAACCATTGTATATGGCACTCTTCATTTTACCAAAATTTCTAGGGGAGCTCATGCCAATTAAAACAAAACAAAACCCACAATCAATTAGGAAGTTGGTAGTCCATCTACCTTTCAGCATTATTACATTCAGAGTCACAACCCCACATGCTTTGCAGACTGGAATTTAAGAAATTGTGAGTGATGGAGAGAAAGTTGTGTCTCTGTGCATGAGTTCCTCTACCATGAAGTCGCCACAGTGATGCAAGGGCCACATCGGGTAAAATGCATAGCTGGAGCCCCTTTGTGCTGCAGCACCTGTCCCTCTCATCCTGCTCTGGTAACGTAAGGGCATAAAGATCCAATGATGGAGCTCCTTACCACCCCCATTCTCAAGGTCACCTCCCTTGGAACCTAGATCAGCACTGATGCTATAAACCAGAGATAGGAAAATGTTTTCATTACAAGGGCTACATCTCCATTTCTGGGGGCTACATGCCAGTGATACGCATGGCCAGGGGCAAAAGTGGGTGGAGCAATGGATGTGATTCTTTGTTGTTGTTGTTTAGTCGTTTAGTCGTGTCCGACTCTTCGTGACCCCATGGACCAGAGCACGCCAGGCACTCCTGTCTTCCACCGCCTCCCGCAGTTTGGTCAGGCTCATGTTTGTAGCTTCGAGAACACTATCCAGCCATCTCATCCTCTGTCGTCCCCTTCTCCTTGTGCCCTCCATCTTTCCCAACATCAGGGTCTTTTCCAGGGAGTCTTCTCTTCTCATGAGGTGGCCAAAGTATTGGAGCCTCAACTTCACGATCTGTCCTTCCAGTGAGCACTCAGGTCTGATTTCCTTAAGAATGGATGCGTTTGATCTTCTTGCAGTCCATGGGACTCTCAAGAGTCTCCTCCAGCACCATAATTCAAAAGCATCAATTCTTCGGCGATCAGCCTTCTTTATGGTCCAGCTCTCACTTCCATACATCACTACTGGGAAAACCATGGCTTTAACTATACGGACCTTTGTTGGTAAGGTGATGTCTCTACTTTTTAAGATGTTGTCTAGATTTGCCATCGCCTTTCTGCTGTCTAGGTTGGTCATTGCTTTCCTCCCAAGAAGCAGGCGTCTTTTAATTTCGTGACTGCTGTCACCATCTGCAGTGATCATGGAGCCCAAGAAAATAAAATCTCTCACTGCCTCCATTTCTTCCCCTTCTATTTGCCAGGAGGTGATGGGACCAGTGGCCATGATCTTCGTTTTTTTGATGTTGAGCTTCAGACCATATTTTGCGCTCTCCTCTTTCACCCTCATTAAAAGGTTCTTTAATTCCTCCTCACTTTCTGCCATCAAGGTTGTGTCATCTGCATATCTGAGGTTGTTGATATTTCTTCCGGCGATCTTAATTCCGGCTTGGGATTCATCCAGCCCAGCCTTTCGCATGATGAATTCTGCATATAAGTTAAATAAGCAGGGGGACAATATACAGCCTTGTCGTACTCCTTTCCCAATTTTGAACCAATCAGTTGTTCCATATCCAGTTCTAACTGTAGCTTCTTGTCCCACATAGAGATTTCTCAGGAGACAGATGAGGTGATCAGGCACTCCCATTTCTTTAAGAACTTGCCATAGTTTGCTGTGGTCAACACAGTCAAAGGCTTTTGCATAGTCAATGAAGCAGAAGTAGATGTCTTTCTGGAACTCTCTAGCTTTCTCCATAATCCAGCGCATGTTTGCAATTTGGTCTCTGGTTCCTCTGCCTCTTCTAAATCCAGCTTGCACTTCTGGGAGTTCTCGGTCCACATACTGCTTAAGCCTGCCTTGTAGAATTTTAAGCATAACCTTGCTAGCGTGTGAAATGAGTGCAATTGTGCGGTAGTTGGAGCATTCTTTGGCACTGCCCTTCTTTGGGATTGGGATGTAGACTGATCTTCTCCAATCTTCTGGCCACTGCTGAGTTTTCCAAATTTGCTGGCATATTGAGTGTAGCACCTTAACAGCATCATCTTTTAAAATTTTAAATAATTCAGCTGGAATATCATCACTTCCACTGGCCTTGTTATTAGCGATGCTTTCTAAGGCCCATTTGACTTCACTTTCCAGGATGTCTGGCTCAAGGTCAGCAACCACACTACCTGGGGTATACGATGTGATTCTTACCTCTGTACAATTGCCTACATTTCAGCCATGCAAAAGCCAGAGGAATCTATGCACCCTTTCACCCATGCAAGCGAGTGGCACTCAAGGAGGACACAGAATAGGGCTGGGAGAGTCCCAAGAGCCAGATATAGTAGCACTTAGGTCCCTAGACCTGAGGTTTTAAAAAACATTTGCCTGTCTTCTCTTACAGATTATTCTGCAGTCCATGCACAAATACAAGCCAAGAGTCCATGTCATCATCCAGGATTCCCGGTTTGATCTTTCCCAGATACAGTCACTGCCAGCAGCAGGGGTTCAGACCTTCTCATTTAAAGAAACTGAATTCACCACTGTCACAGCCTATCAAAACCAGCAGGCAAGTTACTTAAGAGATGCTTCCAAAATGGTACTTCCATTCATTTCTCTTCAGAATTTGGAATTGTGCAAATTAAGGTAGCTTCTCCCCCCCCCCCCCCGAAGTGGGACTGATGCATTTTAAAAAAACACCACGCAAATAAATTAACACAGAAATGCATTATATTATGGACAACTGCTCTGTAAAAATGTGTACATTAGGAAAACTATCATGCTAAAATGTGTGTATTAGGAGAAAATCACACTAAAATCCCAATGGAGTTTCATGAGAACTCTTTTTTTAAAAAAATACAAGCTGATGTGGAAAGGTGGAGAACTGAATTTAACACAGGAAAAGTGAGAAACTGAGAGAAACTGGAATTGATGCATTCACTTATCCCTAGTGCGCATAGTCTTGGCCTGTACCCTCTAAGCTAGATTACATCCCTCAGGTGTGGTGGAAGGTGCTACCAATAAGGTCAGCTTCCGTATATGGAAAAGTGTGTGTGTGCGTGCGCGCGGACCAAATTGCAGTTTGTCTCAATGTCTTGGGTCGGTAAAATATTGATTAAATGCTGCCCCTGCATGAAACTTGATTGTAATTTAGTTTGTTATTTTTCCAGTGTTAAGTTTGGTCTGCCCCATTTCTGCATACTTTTCAGGTATTTTTATATTTTAAGCCCTCATGAAAATTCATATGCATTTTCAGGCACATTTCTCCTGTCATACAATTTCTGCAAGTCAGGTTTCCTCTGTACAGTGGATTTATCCATGTTATTTTGGCTGATGGATGAGTTCCTTCCACACCCTTTGCACTTATATACACATTTTTGTTTGCATTCTTTAGTTGGAAGACTGTATCACAAAATCCAAACAAGGGCACACGAAAGCAAAGAAGAGCTGTGTTCCGATTCACTTGTTTGGGCTAGGGAAGTGTGGGCTTTGTGAAACCCAAATGAATTGCTCTCTCATTCCTAGTTCAGTTATTTATACCAAAATTCTTTTTTTTTTGGGGGGGGGGTTCCTTGCAGGGGGCAGCACTCATGGGATTTTATTTTGAGTTAGAATTTAAAACTGGGACAACACAAACAACAATACAACAAGATTATTAATAGAATAAAAAAACTCACTGAAAACAATCTCTACTATATCATGCATGTGAGGTCACTTCTTGCTCACAAACTATTTGCTCATATTTAAGATCTTTAAGTGACATAAATTGAATGATAATTATTATTACTTATAAATTGTGTGGCGGTTTAACCACGAGTGTGCCAAACTCCACGGATGCATCAATAGAACAGTATTGAAAGTATATTGATGTGAGCATGCATAAGATCACATCAAAACTGCTGATTTGGTGAAGTTTTCTCTTTAGAAGAATCAGGGCACAAGTGTGGTCCAGTAACATTAGGGTATGAGTCTGCAAAAGCCTATCCAGATATGAAAAGCTGATGCACAATTTAATATGCAATTTTATGCTGGTTTTGTTTATGTTTTGTACCTTTTAAAAATGAACTTGCTTTTACTTCTGACTTTTTATTGATAATTTAAATGAGTATTTTATTTTATGTGAACTGCTTAGAGGCTAAAAATATTAGCAGTATATGAATTCCAATCAATCAATCAGTCCATCCATCCATCCATCAAGGAATGACTTCAAAGGTGTAGCAAATGCAACACATTCTAACCCAACAAATGATTATTAGTTAAAGTGGGACTCAAGAGGAGTGGAACAAACTCAAAGAGCAGAAGAACAATGGCCTCCCAAGGCCTCACAAATTATATCCTTCTCCCTACACTCATGTATACCTAAAACCCCTTACTGAGGACAGTGCTCCACAAAACTCACAGAATGGACTCTAGTGACCACGAAAAGCTCATGTTTATATGTAGGGTAATTGTGACAATTTCTTAGAAACCTGTTCTAACACTGAGCACATATGAGTAGGCATGGAAGGATCTGTTGGTTTTGTTCTGTCCATTTCTCAATTATCCAATATTTAATTCATTTCTCCGCATTTCTGCAGCAATTTACATTAAAAAAAATAATTAATCAGCATTTTAGTGTGAATTTCTCCCAGCAAACATATTTTTGCATGCTATTTTGTGCACATTTTTTGCAAGCAATTTCCCTTAATATAATGCATTTTTAATGTGTTTTTCACTACTACATTTATTTTTATGCACTTCCCCCTAATATAGATTTGCCTTTAAGTGTGAACGGAATCAAATTTCTCCTGCAAATGAATGACATTCTTTCTAACTAGGTTTCTACCATTCTAGTGTTGGGTTACTTCATGGGTAGGCAAACTAAGGCCCGGGGGCCAGATCTGGCCCAATTGCCTTCTAAATCCGGCCTGCAGACAGTCCGGGAATCAGCATGTTTTTACATGAGCAGAATGTGTGCTTTTATTTAAAATGCATCTCTGGGTTATTTGTGGGGCATAGGAATTTGTTCATTATTATTTTTTCAAAATATAGTCTGGCCCCCCACAAGGTCTGAGCGACAGTGGACTGGCCCCCTGCTGAAAAAGTTTGCTGACCTGGTTACAGCACTCAAACAATTCTTTCTTTGTTGTTTTGCTGCAAATGTCCACAGATAACAAAACTGAAGATTGACCGGAATCCCTTTGCTAAAGGGTTTAGAGACCCTGGAAGAAACAGGTAAATTATTACCATTTATTTGCTGGGCTGTCCACTAGTTAAAGGCATCATAGTCTGGCCTTGGTCAGCTTAGTGATCTCCAAATGTTTTGACTACAACTCCCATCAGCCCCAGCAAGTGTTGGTGGGAGGAGCTGTGGTTCAAAACATCTTGAGGGGACCAGATCCATGAAGGCTATCCTAACTAATTGATAGTATGAGTGTCAGTGTAATAATTGATTAACCAATAGAGTAGTATATGCTTTTGCCTTGTAGTTTTCTATTACATAATATTGCAGTTTTCCAGTTTCATCTGTTATTTTCCTAAAACACTTAAGAGTCTGCTTTGCTATTAAGCTGCATATACACATATGAAATAATAAATAATATTTGCACATGGTAAAAACAATAGTTACGAACCCCCTCTGTCCAACCCGTCGCCTTATTTTCTGATGACCCCATGGGTGTTGCAGGAGGCACCCAATGTGGGAGAAAGGGAGGAGAGACTCCTATTTTAAAGTGGTCCTTATTACTCGCAGTTTTCACAATATTTAATGTTTATTTCTAATATTCAGACGTATGCCTCTGAATACCAGTTGCTGGGAACCGCAAGTGGAAAGAATGCCGGTGTTACTCTTGTGTCTTGTTTGTGGGCTTCCCATAATGGGCTTCTGGTTGGCCATTGTCAGAACAGAAAGCTGTGGCAGATGGGCCTTTGGTCTGATCCAGCTGCAAGGCTTTCCTTAAGTTAACAAGCTGGAGCACATTTTAAGCTAAGCAATTAAACAAACAAACAAAAAATTAATCGGTTGCAATCTGATTTATGTGTCATATCCTACTTTCATGCCCATAGTAAGATATATTTTTGCCAGAATCTCAAGAGCCACCCAGGATGTACTGCGTGCTCACTAGAGCTTCTGAGACATCCACCTTCCAAAAACAACCCTCTCTACCTCTTGAGGGCCAAACTAGATTATTTGCAGGCTATTTGTTTGCTATATGTGAATAGTCTGTCACTACATCTGTTTGTTTAGTGCAATAAAACTGCCTGGCTTCCTGTCTACAAACTTGCTGGATGCAGAAGCTTCTGCACTGTGGCACCCTGCACAAAATCCAATGTGCCCCCCAATCACTCAACTTCCATTCATAGTTGCAGCACCTTCTGCGATGCCCCAGAAGCTTCACTGACGTGGCGTGACTGAGCCACTTGTACTCCCCTTTGATGAGAAGCGTGCATTCCTAGTGTGGAAACTTATATGTGGATTGCCCCTATCAGAACCGAGGCCTTCATTTTCCGTGAAGGTGGGTGGGTGGGTGGGTGCGTGGGTGTAATACAACTTTTGGTATATAGTCATTGGTAGGTTGATACACTGATAATCTCAACAATATCCTATTTTGTATGCCTTGGTCTCTTAGGATCGTGGGCAAGAAAGAAAGTGTGATGCAGGGATATTTTGCTTGAATTCTGTAATCCATCCCCCCCCCCCCATCTCCATAAAGGAAAGTGGAAATTTGATTACTTTTATAAGTGTTCATATTTCCTATCTGGCCATTTCCTATATGGCTATGACTCTGCTAAATAGTACCCCACTTGTCAATATCTGAACCAGCCTTTGGAACATATTCCTATGCAAGTGCTAGGCTGATGTCCGTGCTTTGCTTTGTAGAGGAGTATTGGATGGACTTCTGGAATCATATCCGTGGAGACCATCACTTACCCTGGATTTTAAGTCTTTTGGTGCAGAAAGTCAGGGTAAGTACAGAATTCTCCATTGGTTCTGAGATCATTATGTTGAACTTTAAGCAACAGTGGCATGCTTTTCAACATGTTCAGTGCAGTCAGTTCCTTGGAGGCTTTGGCAACCTGAATACTGGGATAGCAAGGAAGCTAATTTTCAGTAAAGACATTGTATCTGATGGCCATGCAAATTTGGCTTTTAACTTTCTGGCCTAGAGAATTAAAATTATTTAAAACATCATTTCCCTGCCCCGGGGAAGGTTAGGATTAGGATCCATGTTTCACTCCCTGTTTTCTTGAGACAGGACTGGGAAAGTCTCCTGTATGAGACCCTGGAGATGTACTGCCAGTCAGTGCAGACAATACTGAGAAAGAGGGATTGGTGATGTGACTTGGTATAAGGCAGCTTCCTATATTCCTGTTAACGCTGTATGTCAGCATGCTCATGAAATGCTTTTGATAAAGGGCCTTTTCACGTTGACCAATACCATGTCTCACAACAATATAATGCTGAGCTGGGCTGACTTGAGCCCCTTCAGGTCTACTCTAAGCATGGCTAAGCCTGAATCCAGAGCAGAGCAGAAGGATTTTTCCTTTTAAACCGTTTTAAGAAGAAGCAGATTTCCTTTGGAAAGACCATAGATTGGTGGTAGAGAACCTAGTTCCATGCCTGGGGAACAAGAAGAACCAATGGTCTAGGGCAGGGATGTCCAACAGGTAGTTTGTGATCTTCTGGTTGATCGCGGGGGGTTCGTGGTAGATCTTGGTGGATTGTGGCCCCCCAAAAAAAATTAAATAAAAAATGGGGGGGAGCTCAACAACCTCTGGCTTCCTAAAAAAAGCTCAGTCTGAGGCAAAGGATGAGATAGTGTCCCACTTACCTATGCAGAGAAGCTGACTGGACTGATAGCTGAATCTCATTTCAACCCTGACAACAGGGAGCTTCATTCACTGCCCATAAGGAAAGCAGGCTCATTTAGGGAAATGCCATAGCCTTGCATGCAGAAGGTCTCAGATGGAGTGCCTGGGGAAGTAGATGGACCAATGGTCCTATGCTGTGTATGGCAGTAGTTGCAAAAAGAACTCTAAATCTTTAGCAGAGCGGTTCAGGAAGGGTAATAGGGACACTATCTCATCCTTTGCCTCAGGCATCAAAATACCTTGGGCTGGCTCTGCAGTGAGACTGACTCCTGTGTAAACAGGCCTGGGACTAGGCTGCACAAGGTTGAGCAATGAACCAAAAAGCTCTTCAATTCAACTCTTGCCTCTATCAGGGATTCATTTGGTGGCCTTAGAAAAGTAACTCCCAGTCAGTCCCTCATGGGGATAATCAGGTCCAACATCCATCATGCTCAGGCAGCTGTTGGGGTCTTGGTGTTCTGATGAGACCCATCACACTGATGCCACTTAGTGGTGTCTGGTGCCCAGTGGAACTGGCAAGGTGGAAGCCCGGGAGTCCATTAGTAAGTGGAGGCAGAGCCAATTAATTCTAGTTTTCTCTCATTTGCCTTCCTATTCACTGAATCCACACTGCACTGGTTATTGGGGATAGCCTGAGGTTGGTGGGGCAGTGCCTCATTTCCCCATGGACCAACCTTTACTGCTGCACACACACACCCCCCAGCATCTGCCACTGGAAATGTATTTATTTATGACATTTACATATTGCTTAATCATTAGAATTTCTACGTGGTGTACATAAAAATAAACCATACAAGGAATGAAACAAAACCAAAGAAATCACCATAGAACCAAACAGAAACTCAAACTAACTTAAAATGCCTGCTGGAATAAGGGGGACTTCATCATGCACCTGGAGTTCAGAAAAGAGGGTGCCTTTCTAACTTTAATTAGGGAGGGAGTTCCACAAGCTTGGGCCCACTACACTGAATTCACATCTTCTGGTAGTTCATCTGTGCCACTGGGGAACACCAAAGGGGATCTCATTGATTGAGCAGGGATATAAGGGAGCAGGTAGTCCTAAAGATATTGTGGACTCTGGTTGTTCAGGGCCTTGTAAGTTAATACAAGAACCTTGAACTTGGCTTGGTAACATATGGGCAGCCAATGTGAGCTTTTAGGAACCAGAGTTATGTGTTGGCAGTAGTCTATCTCCATCAACAGTCTATCTACAGCATTTTTCAACAGCTGGTGCCTTCACACCAGGCGCAAGGGTAGCTTCACCCATAATAAGGCAGGTCCTGTCTCACTCTGTTCAACAGGGCTTTAGCTACTATGCTGCTACATTAGTTCCAGTGAGTTTCAGTTGCCTGGGGTCCTTATTTTCATTCTGAATAATTCTGCAGTAATTTCATACAGAAAGCTAAAATATTTGTTGATTTTGGATGCCAAGTAGAAGGAGGATATGCTATTTTAACAGTTCCTTTTCATCAGCCTAGCAAAAAGGGAGCTGTTGCATCTTTGGGGCCTGCGGACAGCTTGTCCTTTGAGAATCCTAGGTCTTTGGCTTCTTCTGAGCCCAACTGATTAATCAAAGGGGGATTTGCCCCCTTTTAAGATTTTGCTCATTAATCCATCAATTAAATTGCTCAAAGCTTGCAGCCTGGATAAATACCCAGCTTTACATTCTGGTGAGATAATTACACATGCTTGATTGCAAGGAACATTCATTCCACTTTAAACTCTCTCCAAAAGAGTGTAGAAATGGCAGAATGAGTGTGTGTGTGTGTGTGTGTGTGTGTGTTTGGAGAGAGAGAGAGAGAGAGAGAGAGAGAGAGAGAGAGGGAGGGAGGAACACAAGGGCAGTCAGAGAACTTACCATGGCACTCACCTCCTTCCTCCCTCAAAAACTGGTACCACGAACCAACTGCAGAAATAATTCTTAGTTGAATTTCTGTCATTCTGTCAAACAGTGTTACAATTTCAGCCGTGTTGCACATACCATCATTTCAGTTTGGCTAATAGTTTTCATACCTTTGGAGACCAAACACAGACCCGGGGTGAGATCTCGGCCCAAAATCATGACAGAGCAAGGCTCCCAAAATGGCTGCCCATGCTCTCATGGGAGAAAATGGGATGTTCCAGTTTTTTCTGGGGCAGTTGATGGGTATGGAGCCAGCAGGTTAGGAGAAAATAGAGAGGAGAAAACAATAATTGCTCAGGCAAACAGCTCTTCCTGTTGAGGCAAGCCAATGGCCAACCTGGGTGGAGTCATTCCAATACCTGGGATCTCTTAACATCCTAGAGCAGAAGTAGAGACCCTTTTAAGCCCAACAACCACATTTAGCCATGGACAACTTTCCAGGGTCCATGCATCAGTGGTGGGCAGGGCCAAAAGCAAAAGTGCATGGAGCAACAGATGAGAGTGGTTGATTCAGTAGGCCACTTTCTAAACACACAATACAGAGAGATTTCTACCCCCCCAAAAAAAACCCTTTTTATCCTCCAAACAGGCAAGTTATGGCTCACTCACACTTCCACTTGACCCGTGCCTAGAAAGCAAGGGTCCAAGTCATTTTTTGCTTGACATGTGCTTTCTAGGCATGGGTCCAAGTGGTTCCTCCTTGCCCTGCTCCTGTCTCAGGGAAAACACGCTCTTTAGTGCTAATTTGGAGCAAATGTCAATCCAGAAAATTGCCGTATGCTCCAATTGAGCAATAAACAGAAGTTTTCCCTAGGGGTATAGGAGCCAACTCCTAGGGATTTTTGCCCCCCCCCATAAGATATCAGAGGGAGCTGGGGCCCCCAAAGTTGATGGACATTGCCATTCAAATCGTGTGTATGCACTATGTCATGTGATCGATTATGTGGGGCAGGGTTTACCTTACCAATATTTTATTCAAGTTGGCACCCCTGCCTGAGAGAATGCAATGGGACTATAGGAACCCTAAGAGGCACTGTCCCAATTCAAGAGAACATTTCATCCAGACAAAAGCACCCAAAGAGAGCGGAGAGCATGAGCTGGGGAGAGTCCTGAGGGACAGATACAGAGGACTGGAGGGCCACCTTAAGCCTTCAGGTCTGAGGTTTCCCAAGGCTGGTCTAGGGAAATGCCACTAGACTATAGCCCTGGTGGTTTAAGACATGAAGCACCTGTGTCTTAAACCACCAGGGCTATAGTTTGGGGCATAGAGTATAGAACTGCACATTCCTAGTAGTAGCCCCAGAAGTTGCTGCCACTGGATATCCTGAGCATTTGAGAGAGAGAGACACAGAGAAAGACAGAGTACGCTGCAAGATGGCTTGTTTATTGAGCATTCATTCTGATTTGTTTGCATGGAGAATAGATTATGTCCATTGCTTTTTATTTATTTATTTTTTAAAAAAGAACATTCATTCTAGTTGTTTCTGGAGAGGTTAGATAATGTTGCATCAAAGCAAGTGTTATCCCACACTTCTCAGAACACTTTCCCATCACTTTCGTTATTGGGAAAAGTCTGACTTTTTGGGAGATGCGGGTTTGTTGTACAGAATCTTCCTAAGTCTCTATTATTGCATGGTGCATTTTCAGGTATGTGATCGAAACCCACCTCCAAACAGCAACAATCTGGGAGTAACCAGAGAGAGAAAGGGAAATCTCTCTCTATTTTAAAAAAAATATCTTAACAACATAATTTTCCTTGCCTTACTGTAGGTGGAAGTCCTGGGTCTTCCCCTGTGACACCCCCCGGGGGAACCCCGTCTCCTCTCAGCTCTCTTCTCTCTCCCTCTTGCTCTCCTCCTACACTCCACCTGTCAGCAAGCAACCTCAGAATGTCATGCCCGGAATCTTACCTCCACCACTTTGGCCTCCCCGTCTGCTACAAGATTTGCCCTACCGGCCTTTTAAGACAGCCATCGCTGATATTCCCAAGCCATCCTAAACTGGGAAATGCTTCCAGCCCACCCCTTTTGCCTCACTTCATGGTGGAGATGCCTGCACTGTCTTCTCTGAGCATAACCAACGTCAAAAGTGGCAAAGCAGAAGACTTAAATGGACCAAGGCCCCAAGGGCCCAGTTCTGCTGGGCATATGCTGTATGGCTTGCATGCATCTGGAAACATTTTCCCATCAAGTCCCATTACCCAGGAAGCCCTTGATTGTGCCTTACATCCTCCATATGGTTTCTACGGCTATAACTTCTCGATGCCATCCAGGCTGATGAACGCAACAGGACATTTCAAAGCAAGCGACGGTGTTCCATCCCCTCTCAGAGAGAGCAGGTGCAACCACTCTCCCTGGCCTTCTGCAATTAACCACTGCCTCTAATGGGACTCCTTTAACATCGCAGAAGCAGTGGCATGTCAAACTCTGCAGAGCTTCCGGCTTTGGCTCATCAGCAAAAGCTGATGGATTCTTGGCAGTGGACCATGGAGTGGACCATAATCGGATGAGTTGAGCGCAAAACTTTGGCATCCTGAGATTCTCTATGGCAGTGAAATTGTGCATGGTTGTGTGTGTTTTTTTAGGGAGTGGAGTTTGCTAAATATTTACTGGAAGGGCAAAATCCGCCAACTGTTTGTTGCGGGAGGGAAGCTCACCGTTATTATACTGGCAGTGTATCAAGAGCAGAGCTTCGGTCCTGGCTGCCTGGACACTATATAGTGTCTTCCACTGTGCCTCAGAAATAGAGATGCAGGATCATTCCCTGAAGATGGGAAGTACGTAGCTTCTGGTGTATCTCTGGGAAGGTGGTGGCGGGGAGAGGTGGACACTATTTGGTGAATATTTGACAAAATGACCCTCCTTTTGTGGGGGAAGGCTCAAGGGTAAACAAAAAACAAAAAAACACCACTCAGAATTTTGCTCTCCACTCAGAAACAAAAGTATTTTGAGAAATTGTGGCTGAGCTCTACCCAAGCTGCCTCACTGATTTTCTCAAGGGACCATCTGCTTTCATAATAACTACACAAAATATGAAAGATATTGAAATAGGGGGGAAGCTGAGATTGCTAATTTACTCAGTCATTTAAAGAATTTGGGTAAAATGTAGATTGGACTTTCTTTTATTATTATTATTCTTTTTAAAAAGCACTTTGCAGCAGAATTTTAGCATCCATGAGATTACTGAAGTGTAAAGTGATCCGAAGGTTATTTTCACCAGACTCTGTGCCTTTCTCATTCCTCAGAGTTATTTTGAGAATATCTTTGCATACTCAAATTGATTTCATGGATCTTTTAAAGGACTGATGCCTCAATGCTTCCTGTCCCCAACTCCCTCTCCCTGTTCTCTGAGCAAAGCACTTATTAGACTATTGTCCCATTCATTCTCTCCCTCCCTTTGTCTCCAATCACTATTAACTGTTTATTAACCTTTTCTTTGTTCAGTGTCATAGGCCTGTTTCCAGGTGGTTAATCTGAGTCTGGGTTGTACCAGTTCAGGTTGCAGATAGAGGCTGTTGCATTATTTGCTTCTCTTATATATGTTTTAAAAAGTGCCCTGCACATAGTAAATTAGCATGTTAGGCAAAATTCTAGGTAGGAACCCCATACCCTCCAACATTTCTCTGATGAAAATAGGGATGTCCCATTGCATAATGATAATGATGGGGGTCAGTTAACTCCATACCCTCCTACATTTCTCCAATGAAAATAGGGACATCCTAAGGAAAAGCTGGACATTCTGGGATCAAACCAGAAACTGGGATGGCTTCTCTAAATCAGGGATGTCCCTGGAAAATAAGGACACTTGGAGGGTCTGGAACCCTTCTCTTGACACTTCATCTAATATAGGGAGGGAGATATTCTGAGTGAAGGTTTCAGTCCTGCTGGCTCTCATCTGTGGTCTGAATTGCTCCAGCCCAAACACAAAGTGGCCACCATTAAAACAGAGGAACAAACTAGACATGACATGAAGCATGTGATTGGTCCTTTTATATGCCTTTAGTTTGGTTCACTGAACAGTATTTGTGGGAGTGGCAGTGGTGCTTTCAGGACAGGACTTTGGGGCAGGTATCCAGAGTCCCATTCTGGACTCAGTCTCCCATTCTGAGCATGGCAGATATTTACTGGGGCGCAGGTGGAGGGGAAGTGCTTAGTGGTTGTACACACGCTTTTCATTCAGTGCTGTGTTGCCAACGTGTGCTCAGGGCACCAAAACAGCAGAAGGAGACCCATCAAATTCCATCAAAATGGAAACACACACACTTTCTTACACTCCACCACAACTCTTTCTCCATTTTTATTTTTATTTTGGTTCTCTTTTTATTACTTATCCCCACCTGAACCTGGGGGCGTTCCTACATATGTAGATAGAAATAATGCCAGGAAATCAGATCCTGTTGTGCGTTGCAATAAATCTGTTTTGTTTTGTTTTATAGTTTAGTATTGTTTTCATTTCAGATTACAAATGGCGGGGCACCATAATCTTTTCAATGCTCAGGGCCTCTAATGGTGTTAATGCAGCCCTGTTCACACTTTAAAAGGCCTGACATCTTCAAGCAGGGCTAAGGCAGATTCCTGTCTGAAACTCTGGAAAGCAGATAGACTACTGAGCTAGATAGACCAATGATCTGGCTTGTTCCTCAGTTTCCCTCCAGGAGCGAACAGGTGTGCTGTCCAGATCAAGATTATGCCAAGGGCAAATGGTTAAACCCAATTTCCTTCGACACTGTAGTCTGGATCTTCCCATAGCTATTCCTTTTTATTTTATTTTATTTTAATTTAATTTAATTTAATTTAATTTAATTTAATTTAATTTTATTTTATTTTATTTATTTATTTATTTTATTTTATTTTATTTTATTAAAGCAGGCATGCAAGGCCAATCACATTCTTTATGTTGGTCCTAATCCATTACCGGTATTCTCAAGCCCAAGGGCCAGATTTCCCCCACAGGCAACCTTTGGAGGTCCACGTGCCAGTAGTGGGGTGGGTCCAGAAGTAGAAGTGGGTGGGGCAATTGGCATGACTCACCGTTTTGTACAGTAGGCTACATTTCAGCCATGCAAAAGCCAGAAGTTTCTACATATAACCCCACCCCTGTACCTCTCTCCATCCTTTCTCCAGGCATTATCACAGTTTCAAGGACACATTCCAGTCAGGCATGGAGCAGGACCTATAAAAAGAATGCCTTGGGGAAAGGTGTGGCTTCAGAAGTCCCAAGGGCCACGTAAAGAGGCACAGAGGGCCACATTCAACATTCCACCTCTGTCTTATAGAAACTTTTCCAGACTCCTTCAGCTTCTTATTTCCTTCCTTCCATCTGTCTCTAGCAAACAGTGTGAGGCTGACAGGAAGTAGATCTTGCCTCTGCAGGGAATGCTTGTAGGTTTTTTTGTTTTTTAATCAACAAAATTAGAGCTGACAGAAACAAGTAAAGGGATCCCCCTCCCTAAAAGAATAAAGAAGTAAACTAAGCCACACACATTATAGCTCACCATTTGTATAAGAAGAGCAGAACATCGTTCCATGTGAATTAAGTTACTCCTAGAGCTTCATCACTGAGGGAGGATTTGAGCCAGAGTTCCCCATCTGCCAGACTACAGACTGGAAGGGGGCGATTTAAATGAACCGGAGGGCTGAATTTGCTTTTAAGCCAATGGCTCAAGTCTACTCCCTGAATTTCTCATGCTAAAATGTAGCTAATAATTGAGAAGAGCCCTGATTGGTCAACCCGGTCGCCCATCTAGCCCCCCATCCTGTTTTCACAGTGGCCAATCAGATGGCTGTGGAAAGTCCTCTCCTCATTTGTGATTCTCAGTTACTCGTATCCAGAGTCATACTGCCTTCAGCAGTAGACGAAAAACATAGCGATCATGACTAGCAGACATTGATAGCATTATCCTCCATGAATTTGTCTAATCCTCTTTTAACACCACCAAGCTGGGGGGCATCACTACATTTGTGGGAAATTTACCTATTTTACCAACTTTCCCCCCTTCAGCTCCCAAATCATTGCCATATACACCCACCAAAATTCTTCCAGCTGTCAAATTGACTTCCCCTTCCATATTGCCAGCTCTGGAGGGTTTAAGGTGTGGGTTGATGGGTGCTACTTGAACAGATGCAGTTGCAGAAAATCACAATCAAAAGTCATTCAGTATCTCCAGGTAAGTTATGCAATGTCTTTTATTTACACGGAGCAATCAAGCAGGCTTTCCCTCAAGATGATCACAACAAAGAACCAATTACCAGTATGGTCAGAGGCTTAAAGGTAAAGGACCCCTGACAGTTAAGTCCAGTCGTGAACAACTCTGCGGTTGTGGAGCTCATCTTGCTTTACTGGTCAAGGGAGCCGACGTTTGCCCACAGACAGTTTTTCCGGGTCTGTGGCCAGCATGTCTAAGCCACCTCTGGCGAAACCAGAGCAGCGCATGGAAAGGCCGTTTACTTACCATTTACCAGAGTGGTACCTATTTATCTACTTGCACTTTGACGTGCTTTCGAACTGCTAGGTTGGCAGGAGCAGGGACCAAGCAACGGGAGCTCACCCCATCACAGGGATTCGAACCACCGACCTTCTGATCGGCAAGCCACCAGTGTCCCGTTCAGAGGCTTAGAAGGGGGCAAATGGTCAGACAAACTGACAGCCTTGCAACTCCTTCTGTGCAACCCCCTAACACAGTAAAGCACACTCAGCTACAGAATGCATAGCTGGTGGAGGATATTGCATATATAATGTGACATTAAACAGTGACAGCAAGCAGCCCTGCTTTGAGCAGGAGCAGTCTGTTCGAACTGTGAACACTCTTAATTGCAGCCCTCACATACAACAGTGATAAAAGTTCCTAAAAGCTACTGAAAACAGAGCAAAGCTATATACAGTGGCACCTCAGGTTACATACCCTTCAGGTTACAGATGATTCAGGTTACAGACTCCGCTAACCCAGAAACAGTGCTTCAGGTTAAGAACTTTGCTTCAGGATGAGAACAGAAATCGTGCTCGGGCGGCGCAGCAGCAGCAGCAGGAGGCCCCATTAGCTAAAGTGGTGCTTCAGGTTAAGAACAGATTTAGGTTAAGTACGGACCTCTGGAACGAATTAAGTATTTAACCTAAGGTACCACTGTACCAAGAATAAAAGTGTTGTTGTTTTAGCATGCATTTCTCATAATATACACATGCACAATCTTGCCCAATATACATATGTTTTCAAAGAGTCTCCCCCAATATAGGGCATTTAAAATTTATTTTTCATATATATCCCTCTTACATACACATTCCATATATATATATCCCTCTTACATACACATTCCATATATATATATATGGGAAGATATATCCACTGATATATCTTTGTACACATGTTTTAGTTAGAGAACTCCATCACAATATTCAGAGAAGTTTGAATTTTGAAGGACAGCTGAATTTTGGTTCGCATATTGATTTTGGGAAGTACAAACTAGTCGGGTTCATGTTTGAAATGCAGACTGAACCAAATCTCTCTTCCATTCCTAATTTGAACTAGATCATTAGCATGTGACAGCCTCAGAAAACTCCCACCACTTCCATGTGCTGTGGGGCAAATGTTTACTAGAGAATTAACAGACTGACTCCAGCACCTGATGCCGTGGTTAAGTGTGTCAGGCAGGGTTCAAATCCCCAGTCAGTCTGGGTGACCTTGGCCCAGTTGCAGTCTCTCAGCCCAACCTACATCACAGGGTTGTTGTGAAGATAAAATGAGGAGTAGGAGAACCATGTACACCACCCTGACCGCTTTGGAGGAAAGGTATCAAGGTAATAAAACTGAAATTTGGATGTGCTGTTGCTCCAGGATATTGTGAGAAATCAAAATGGTGATGCCTCAGAGCTTTTCACAGCATCCTGACACATACCCTCCAACATTTCTCCGATGGAAATAGGGACGTCTCATTCCACAATGATAATTTTACTATTTATACCCCAGACATCTTACTGGGTTGCCCCAGCCATTCTGGGCAGCTTCCAACATACATAAAAAAATAATAAAGCATTAAACATTTTTTAAAGTTTTCTGTACAGGATTGCCTTCAGACAGCTTGGGGGTTGGATAACTCCATACCCTCCAACATCTCTCCAATGAAAATAGGGACATCCTAAGGAAAAGTGGGTCAGTCTGGGATCAAATCAGAAACTGGGATGGCTTCTCTAAATTAGGGTTGTCCCTGGAAAATAGGGACACTTGGAGGGTTTACTGACATGCAGAAATAAGCTAGCGAGCCACTTCCCATAATGATTTTATCTCTGAGTGTGCATTACTAATATTTAAAGATTTTTAAAGTTTGCAATTCTAACTATTAGTGCTAAATTAGGTCAGGCGACAGTTCAATGGGCTATAG